TTTTGGGGGGGGGGGGAGGGGAGGGGAAACGGAGGCGAAATGTCGAAACTGGGAAAGTTCGGTCGTAAAAGGGTCGAGTGCTCTTGGTTGAGGACCAAGCTGAGAGACGCAGGGAGGCGTACGGGGGGAGGAGATTTCGCGTAAGCGAAGCACGAATCGAAGTTGGTAGGCCACGGCGAACGGGGGTGAAAGGACGAAGGGGAGAGGAGCACGCGATTAGACGAGATTGAGAAAGTCTTTTGTCGTCGCACACGGGATAAAACTTTTTTTTTATCTCCTGTCGCTCTCTTTTTTCATCTTCCACTCTTGCCATGCCCTTGCCTACCTCCACCCTGTTCTCTTCCGCTCGCGCCGCCGCCTCCTGTTGCGCCCTTTAGCGTCCAATAGGATATCAGGCGACGTTCGTTACGACCGCCAGCAATAAAAGAATACGAAGGAGTCCGCTTCATTGGCCAACACTCCATGTAGAAGAAGCGGCTCGAATTTCTCACCGACTCCCATACCGGGTCCTTTTGAGCTTCTCAACCTGGCCGATATAATGCCGGAGGCCCGGGTGCTCGAGTAGTAGTGGCGATCTGCTGACATAGTTAACGGTCCATTACTCACCGGCTATCTAAACAAACGGGCGATTAACCCTCATCTGGCACACTGGGCTCATTTAGAGCCCACTCCATTTTTTACTTCGAATTACCTACGGGTAACAAACTAGTGGAATGAAAACTTTCGGTTAACGCGCTAAAGAAAGCTGTATTAAGCTAAAAAGGTTGTACTTATACAAGTTATTGGGAATATGAGGTTTAGACACTATTAAACCATTTCAATCGCCTGTCATATAACAAAGTCTCTGTGGAATCATCTTTTACCCCATTGTGCCAAAGTAAAGTATCAAAATGTAAAAAAATATGATTTTAAAAAAAATGATGTCTCATCGTAAATGATTATACTTTTTGACAAATAATTCTACTTAAATAATTATACTTTTTTGACAAATTGAAACATATAAAACTCTTTTCCTTAAAGGTTCAAGTATTGAAAAAGAAAATTCTATATTGTTAATTTCTTAAATTATTTTCAGAAAAATTACAAATTTTTATGTAAACTCACGTTTCCATCGCCTTTCCTTTCATATCTACAATTCAAAGAAATACTTAAGTGAATATTTGCAGTAATTTCTATATATAATTCTACCTGCAAATTTAAAAATATATTATTATTTTTCATAGATTTTCATTAACACTTAGGGAATGTAAATAAGCGAGGGTTGAAATAATCCAGTGTGGGAGCACCATTAGGGTGCGCCAAACATATGCGCCATGTGGCGGGACTACAATAGCTAAGCTGTTGCCAAGGTTTGCGAGAAATTCTCAAAAGGTCGTACTTGCTCAATTTCGATTATATCGGCGCGATAAACGGTGTAAACAGCGAAGAAAGGAAGAGCGTTCGTCTCACCGCGTGAAGTTCATTGGATATTCCAGTTCGAGTCTGTCGACGATCCGCCAGAAGCGTTTTTGCGAGAACTACGCGGTAATAAGTAGCATAACGACCGGTAACGTAGCGAGTATCGGGACTGCTCTTCATTTTTAATATCTCCCGCGACGATCTTTCCAATCCGCGACTCATTTGCAAATCCACGTCACTGCCTCGCGTCTGCGCTAACGCTCAAAAGCGAATTTCGGTCGGCTTTGCTTCGACAAAAAAAAATTGCCAGATCACTCGCGCGGTGGTTCCCATCCGACATCCAACATCCATCCACCCCCGATGGTCGCGATGATGGCCGTCGCGTGTGAACCGTGCCTAATCGTGAGATCGGCTCAACCCTTCGCCAGATGAAAACCCAGGCCGGGGCCACCTGTCCTGGATTACTGGTGCGAGCATTATAAGCCTCCAGCCGTTCTGGATCTAGGAGAATCATCGCGCCGACGTGTCGCACCGGCGCTTTTCTTACCAACGGCTACAGCCGACTCTGCCTTTAAGTGGGCCACCTTTAAAGGGATCCGTATTTTCGATAAACGTTTAAAGTGAATGTCCCAATTAGTGAGCAAGTAACCTGGTCATACTATTTTGAGAATAACGTGTTTAAAGTTTCATAACAAATTTCTTTTCTTGTACTTTTTGCACCAAGATATTGTTAAATGTTCTTAATAAAAACAAAAAATTAATACTTCTATTAATAACATTCATAAAAATTCATACTCCTATTAATGTGCAACTTCTTACAACTCGCTAAATTCTACCTAATTGTTGCTTCTGTCAGGGCCCTGTAACCTCTGAAGCATTCCGAGGAACGCTCGTCAACCCTTTTCACCAGAGACCTCGAAATACATAAATGCGAAACACAGTCTGGCAGAATCGAGCGATCGAAGGTGCGATTAAACTAAACACACTTTTCCCATTATTGTTGCAGGGTGTTTGTTGGACAGTTCGGCACCGCGGGGCCCGCCTGATGTGCCACCCCGTAACCCCGCAATGAGCCGGCTCAACGGAAGACTGCCAGGAAGTCACGCAGCGAGCGATCACGAGCGCGATCCCGATCTCGAGCCATCCTGTCTCGTGCGCACCCCATCCGGTAACTTCTACAACATACCAAGTGAGTCCGCGCAAACAGGGATCGTTAAGACTGATTTACTGAGAAGAGGGGAAAAGCGGGAGCGGCAGCAGCGCGTATACGTGGGAAACGGTCTTCCCTTTTCCTCTTTGCCTACAAATATTTTGGCCAATTTAGAATCGCTTTTTACGGAACGAAAATCCGCGTAACGTAGTTTTCCTTCGTAATTCTGCAAATTTCCCGCCCAAATATTTTGATAATTTCGCCCGCTTTGTAAAGCGAAGAAGCATAAACGAAAGAGAGAGAGAGAAAGAAAGGAAGGGAGGGGAGGAGAGAGAGAAACGAGGTCGAATCACGTTTCAACACCCTCGAAATTTAATTTTCCTAAACTCTCGTTATATTTAATTGCTCGTAGCTGAAAAAAAGCTTCGTATTAAGGTTTTCATAATTTTATCAAGAAAATTATCAAGCACGGATTGGTCAAAAGAATCTCTCCGCGGGCGATGATTTGCCGGCACCACCCGGTATATTTTCCCTTTCATCTTCTGTCGGTAACTCTCCGCGCTCGCCATTACTTTAATTAAGTAGACGGAATATTGACCTGAGAAAACTGCCTTTTTCTTATCTCTGGTCAGCTATTCGCGTCACGAAAATGAAAGAGGCTATTTTCGTAGCTATCCTCGTTCCGCCGTATCTATCCGAAGGATCGATTTGCTATCTGCGTGCGAACGCAAACGCGAAATACTCTCTGACGCTTTAGTAATGCCGGGCGATCGCCGAAGTATCTATCCCGACGGAGAGGTCGACTTAAACGATTATTTCTGTGTCGCGTTGGTGTTTGCCTTCCGGGAGGAAAAACACGTCTTCGTTTCTCGTAGCAACGCGAGTAGATATCGCGAAAGTATCCCGTCGGGGTGTGTTCTGCGCGATAATGCGGCCGATGTTTGCACCGACTCATCGAAAGAAGGTTTAGTCAGGGACGGCAGATGACATCTTTGACGAGGGTATACTTCGTAATCAGTAGAAACCAAGGGGGTGGGTGCAAGGTTGAACCAAACGGAGAGTGTCGATAATTTTCAAGTTCTCTCGCGATATCAACGTGTTTCAACATCGATGCTCTTCAAATATCCCTCGAAATTCTTCGCAACATTCTTAGTAACGTAGTAAGATAAAAGTATCAAGTGTCTGGATACTAGTAACACACTCTCTTAAATTGAATCAGTGAAACATTACTGAAAACAGTGAATATACACTGATTTGCAGTTATAAGTGTTGCACTGAAAGTGCTCAGTACTATACTTATAACTGATATCAATAACTATTCACTGATTCATTTTAAGAGAGCAGACACCTAACTCTGTACAATTTTATTGTTTTGGTCTTTAACCCGAAAATTACAAGGTGAAGTGTGAGTTATACTCTGTGCGGTACGTCTTGTTACATAACATTGAAAACACTGATAAGTATGGCTCCAAGTCCTCAGTAGCTTTCAGTTGAATTTTCGTCTTGATCCTCAAGAGGTCGCTACCTCCCTTCCGCCTCTGTTTTGTAGTTAATGTCTTTTTGTTAGTTAATATCGAGCTTTATTATTGCTAGGTTAAACACGAAAATTTAATTTTTAACATGAAATATTTATATATATTCAATATACATAGAAAAAAAGAACATTCTTGTTTGGAAGATATCTCTACTTTTGACATGTTAATGTCAAATGAGACTACTTCAAATAAAATTACATAGCGTTAAACCCAGATAACTTAGCGTTAAAACAAGATAAACGTAATTACTTGCAAATATTTTGTATGATTTGACAAAGAAAAATCACAAGACAAGCCCAAAATATTGGATTGAGAATGTGATGTTTTTAAATGTCGAAAGAAGATTCATTATCACCAAAATAATCATATTGTACTTGAAGCTATTGAAGATATTGTATATGAAGCTATTGAAATGATATCAAATAAAATTATAACTGCTGAAATTCAAGACTTTAAAATCTTTCTAACAAAATTATATATTGTTGCTATCTATAAAACAATGATTTTTATTTTAACATATTAGTTTTAAGTGAATACCAATCTTTTCTTCCGTGTATATGTATTCCAATATCGAAAGTTTAAATATCTGTGCCAAATAACAAAACAAGACGAATGTTCAGAGTTAGGTATAAATGTTGTTGGTGATCAGGCATTGCTACTTTGACGTTACCTTCCGCCAACTTTTCGTGCGCCTTCGCTTGCGCGAGGGATGTATCCCTCTAGCTTTATCTCGGCAAAGCACGGTTTACGTGATAGCGCTCTTGGGCGATGCTCGCGTGTTTCGCGTGAGAATACGCGGCTGCCCCTCGTGAAATGAAAGTTGAAAATAAAAGTCCGGACTTGTTCGGGCAGCCTCGAGACTAAACTTGACTAACAAGCCGAACGATTCTCAAAATTTAGTCGCCGGATCGGTCTGCAGAGAAGCCGCCGCTCGGCTCGCTAACCCGGCTTTTCTCGAGTTCTCCAAACTTACGCGCGCGCATAGGCGGATTAATTAAAAATTTAATTTAAAAGTATCGTAACATAAAATAACACCGCGCCCCGGCAGCGGTAACTTTTTTACTGGGGCAAAAGAGAATTTTCAGAGCACTCCGGTATCTGGAGAAATAATTGAAGAGTCAATACACTGAGAGAAAAAAATGGTTGAATAAAAATTATAGTTATTTTTGGTCCCAACCAATATTTCTTGTGGTGAAATGAAAATAATAATATATAGTGATGTGATTATAATCACAAACATTACGGTAGAATTTAATAAAAAAAATTATTTCCTTCGCCATAATTTTTATAGTGATTATTTTCTCTTCTGTATGATAATAGTTACAAACATCAAGCATTTTTTCTCAGTGCAGGGAGATGACGGGCGTTTCGGGTTTGTCCAGTCATTGAGCTACATTATATTAATATTAATCGGTGACACAACACAATCTTTTATGCACTTTAAATTTATACGATTATTTATTTGACTAACAGAGACGCTCGGTTTTATGAAAGTGAAGTCCGGCCGAAGCAAGACACATAAAAACAAGTCGGCCACCTCCATGTCGGGGTCAATGGCAACGCTCGAATTCGCGGGAGTGAAGGACCACCCCGGGATAGTTTCGGTTGTCCTTTAGCACACCGCCGAGCGTACTCGAGTAAAGAAAAGGGCGCCTTGCGGCGACATTTTCCGAGATACTTCAGCGGCGCGTGATATCGACTACACAGAGAAAACAACAGTGAAATCTAACCTTTTCCACGTCTAAAGTGTTCCACGGTTCGCTCGGCGACTGAGAAAGTGTCCGGCACAAGTACCGAACGCCCGGTGACAAGCTTCTTTCTTGTTTGGCTCGTCGTAAAGATTTTTCAAATTCCACGCTCCACGACGCCATGGGACTGACTTTCCGCGAGACACGTATCTGGCACATACGTGTACGTGTGTGTGTGTGTGTGTATGTACACACTCCGTTTTTCCAAAGCAAACCGTGGAATGGAGCCTCAAAGGTCCTCTCGAAAGCGTGCGACCGCATCGCCTATGATTTACGATCTTTCGACTTATTGACTCACCAGTTATGACACAGTCTGACGCTTATGGCCGCCTGCATAATGCTTAACTCCGCTTATGGAATTCCGGGATCTTCCTTTCCGACACGACCGCCTGGCTCGTCCACTAAAGTCATGTTGGAGCTCTTTTCCAGGCCTGCTCGTGTATCTACTTAGTTTTCTTGCCGTTACAAGAGTCTCATGATCAATATCTAATCTGGGATAAACGAAACCTATTAAAAAGCAAAGGATTTTTACATACACAAAAGAAGCGACCAAGTTTCTTTGCTTTTCTCTTCATGTTCATGACCTTTCTTCTTTTTCTGGCGCCTTTCAAAAAGAATTAAGATATTCTTGGGAACGCTAACAAAAACGATATCGAAATGATATTGTTAAGGAATTCAAATCTACCTGTACACAGAAAAATATTCTGCTGCTTCCAAGAAAGGACTATTACTCAACTTATTTTCCTTCTTTCAAATAATAGTTATCTTATAGTTATAGCTAAAATATTTTGAAAAAAATCAAATTATTTTAGCACATGAAAATAATGTATCTTAGTGTGAGAAAATAAGACTAAATAATATAATTTTTACACATACCACAGGAAGAGAAGGAAGTAAGAAGCACAAGAAATCCAGAAAGAAACATAGATCCGCAATCTGTTAACTGTCATATTTTTACATGTAAAGCCTTAGAAATTTCGGAGTAAGAAGAAATACAAAGTTAAAAGCACCTGGACACGAAAGACCTCCTTCTATTCACTACAAAGATTTACTTAAAATATACTCATCGCAAATTTTAGAAAAGTTCATTATTACGCACTCAAAAGAATTATTTACTTGAATGCAATATATATTTTTCTGTGAGTGTGTATGATAACGTCCAAAGCGGAATTAAATTCGTTCTGAGTAAAACGACGTTAGAAATTAATAGATTTTTCTTTTTTATTTTTTTATTACAGCCCAATAGAGGTCCAAATAGGTCGGCTCCTCTTTCAGTTAAAAATTTCACGCGCTACGGAAATTTTTCACGAACGCTGCGGGAGAAAAAAAATGCAAACGTTGCAATCTTTCAATTACTTCGTCAAAACTTTCACCAAATATTTATATTCGATTCTCCGTAACAATAGATGTTGCACAGGACGCCACGTAGAAAAAAAAAGTAATTTCGGAAATCTCGTTACTCGAGCGATCCAAGGCGCGGTTTCGACGCGAAGCAACACGCTCGACTTCGATCACGATCACGGCGCGATACTCGACGACCACGGGGACGCTCCTCGCGAGTAAATCACCGGGCTGGTCGCCAATTAGAACGAATTCTCGCCGGCAAACCGCCGATTAGCGGATATTCCCCTCTAATCCGAGGCCGGGCGACAAGGGTCGCGTCTCGTGCGCCTAAGCAAGCCGGAGGAAAATAAAAGCGATGCACCACCCTTCGGGGTGCGTGGAGAGAGCACCCTGCCCCAGAAATCACCGTAATCATGGATATCTGCCTAAATGGCATAATCACCGGATTTCGGGGCCGGGGCGGCAACACACCTGCAATTAGCGGCGGTGGGGTCAGCTCCGGCCGGGCCCTCGTCTTCCCACGCCCGCATTTTACCGCTCACCAGGTATGCGCGAAGGTGCGGAACGGGTTCCCCGTAAGAAGACAAAGGGCGTTGAAGTAACGAGCCGTGCGCCCCTCCTCCCTCGCCGCCGTTGCTCTTCGTGTTGACCGAAGAAAAGGGTTTCGTGAACGTGTTCGAAAGGGGCTAAGTGTCAGGAACAACAAAGCTATAGTTCGAACTCGAACGCTGATCTCTCTTTTTCTCTCCCTCTCCCTCTCTTCCTCTCTCCCTCCCCTCTCTCTCTCTCTTTCTCTCTCCTACGCGCGCGTTTTAAACATAAACGTGTAAAGTGGCTCGTTAATATTCAAAACGCGCTGTGTAGCACTGCGTTTTAAATGCGCGTCGTGCCACCGCGCGAGACCGTATCTCGCGGTGCGCGCAGATATAGTCGCGAGTTAAACTTTTAAAATTAATTCGAGGCTTGTTTCAAATGTAAATATGTTTGCGCGTGCTTATTTCTATTTTATCAGTCATTATGTCAGCATAATTAAATATTCAGTCCGGCGACTTTTCACGATATTTCCCGCGCGCGTGTCCCACTAATCTTTACAGGGGGGGAAATAAATTTGTAAAAAAGCAGTAAAAGAGAGAAAGAGAGAGCACGTTTAAAGAGCACGTTTCGCAGAAAGTGCCGTTTTACGGGCAACTAAAACTAGCCCGAATATATTTCGGTGCTGTGTCGCGAGGAACATAATAGAATTCGTGCGATCCCAGTCCTGCGCTTCCCGAAACCCCCTCCCATCCCATCCTCTGAAACTTGTACTTGAGGTCCTCCCGGTTGAGGATTAACACGTTAATACCACTCGTACATATTGTCGCGAGTGTGACCCCTCGAACCACCTATCACCGGTACCTACCTACATCGCGAGCGTCCAGCAGCGAGTACACGGGATACACCACTTACACAGGATATCCCGCTCCTCGAGTTTCGAGGTCGTATACCTTGAGACAGGAGAGTGCGACGATAGAGGAGGAATTTTAGTTTCAAGTGCGCTATGGAATTAGCCTCACTTTTAGACGGACGTTTCTTCACCTGTTATATTTCACTCCCCTCTTCAAGACACACACCCCCGCGTGATCCTGCTGGATCTCCTAGGAACGTTTCAAAAACACGACAACGGCGCGCACCCTCCCCTCGCGAGAGACTCTCCGTCTCGTTGCTTGAAATTCAAGCCGAAACCGCGATGAATCATGTACTTATCGATTCAACAGAAGCCTCGGCCACCGCCGTCGTCTCGCTTTTTCTTTCTGCTTCACGCACACGCGGCGTGAAGCCCGCGAGAATGGAAAGACGACGTCGTAGCTCGCGTCTGGCATTACAAAGAACGTCTGGCCGTTCACCGGGAAAACTCCCGCGCTGAAAATGAAGAATCGACACTATTGTAATTTATTTAACGGCTGGCCACGCCTCGTGCCCACCGGCCTTCGCTCATAATTATACGTTCCGTGTAATCGGAAATATTGCGTGTGGATAAATGTAAGAAGATGAAAGTTGTTATTAACCCGTCGGATTGACGTCGGATATTTCTAATACCGTCAGATTGGTAGAGATCCCGTCAAAAGTTGAGCGCGTGTTGTCTATTAGGAATACTAACGATATTATCTGCTTTGGAAAATCAGTTAGCTCGATAGAACACGCGATCCTTGGCGCTCCCGTTAAAACGAAGGTTTCTTCGTGATTTGGGATGTGGGCACATGTATTGTCCCGAAAAAAAATTGAAATCTCGAAATTTTAAAACTGGCACCATTTTCTAAAATGTCATGATACTGAATATCAAATTTTATTCAGTGGTTGAAGCAATTTACTGTACAATACTTCGACCGATTTTTTTCAGGGCATAGTATCAGTAATTTTAATTTAATTTTATAATGTTCACGCATTATAATGTTTATGTCGTGAATAAATTTAAAACATATTTATTTATGTGATTTACCGGCCGATGGTGAAAAAATTTTTTGTTGATTTAATGCAATTGTTTGGCATCATCCATTCATTAACGTCTGTACCTTCACACTGTGAAAGTATTTCCAATTTGATGCATCCAATTAGAAGAAAAAAAAAATTATGAAACTGCGCTCTGTCGATGTCCAACATCGCTTCAAGGGAATTCTAAAGTGGGAGATAAACTCTAAAAATGTAACATGCTATTCTTTTCGTATTTTTTGTATATATAAATCTCATATAAATATGCTTTACTGCTTTATATCTCTACGTTATCAACATTTTTAGAGTTCGTTATCGACTCTAACATCTCTTAACATTAGCCATCCATTAACGTTTGTACTTTCACCCTGTGAAAGTATTTTTAATTTAATGCATCTATTTAAAAAAAAAGAGAAAACTACGAAACTTTATATTATGTATTCAGCATCGCCTTAATAATATAGAATTTTATTGCAATAAAAATATATCAGACTATTCTGACAATAATGATACAAATGAAAACAGCCACAATAGTTCAGATTCAGAACTTGTATTTTTTATGAGCGTGGTGTCGACTCAAACATTCACTGAATGTTTAAACGCGTCTTAGTAAAAAAAAAGCATACAATTTGAAGGATCTCAGTAAATTGAATTTCAAGAGCTGGATAAGAAGAAAGTCGTTTTGAAATTTAATTCAAGATAGTCTTGTGCCATAAGAAACGCGATTCCTTAAAGGCATTGTTATCGATATATTAAACGTGAAACTTGAGAAACAAATTGCAGTATAAAAGTCCTTGCGCGAGGATCCAAACGCGTCGAGAAAGCCACTCCGTTACACCTATTTCCGCATTTTTACGATACATACTGCATAATGCGATTTCGTATGCATTACGTAAAATGTAAACTACACCGCGTTGAATTGCATTTACATCTTGGCGGCGGAAAAACTTGACGGGGCACCGTTTCCCACGAGAAATTTCGCCGATCTGTCAGACGCGATATATAACAAACTATCTTCATCGTGCCGCTTCTTCTTGCTGCTTGCAGAGATACCGAAGAATGAATACAACAACAAGAATCAGTCCACGGGGAACAGTCCAATAAAGGTGGAACTGCAGAACAACATGGACAGGTAAGAGCCGCTCTGTACGCCACGCCACGCGTGTTTACCGCGAGAACACGCTTTTCCTTCTTTCATTCTACCGATCAGTCGAGCGCGATCAGTCGGCCGAATTGAATCGACGGGAGCGGACTGCAGGGACTCATGTTTCGAAAACCGACGTCGATGATCGAAGTGAACGAACCGTGACCGACTTCTGTCGTTACTTCGCTTCATTCTTCGGGCCGCGACAGGACACTCAAGATCCTCATGAATCATCCATTCAGTCGACTCGTACAATGAGAGTCAATGTTTGCCTGTGGATTGTCATCCTTTAAGAAAGGCTCGCCTGCGCGTGACGCTCGCCGTGGAAAACGGCCGGTCCTTCAGACCCTTCCGAGGCATTCGCCATAGACCCTCGAGTGCGCTGTTGAAATTTGCAAAACGGTCGCGAGACGTGTGGTGTATTTACGGGCCGGTAAACGAACTTTTTTTCGCACGAAAATACAACGGAGTTCGATCATGTACGAACGAATTCGCGAGCTCTCACACTGCGCTGCCCTACCAAGTAACAATCAAGTGACATTTGGTGCGTTTGAAAGTTGAATGAGTTATCTTAAGAAACTGGCAATGTTGCGCTTAGATGGTTTTAAAATCACCTAGATGGAGATGAAATGAAAATCTATAAATCCTTATTGGATGAAATGGAGATGGTTTCTCTTAAAGAATCTAGGTGAAAAATGAGATAGTTATGCGATTCATCTAGATTGTTTTTTAGACAATTTATTTAGACAATTTTTTAAGATAATTTATACAAAGATATGAAAAAGTTGTGCAGATAACAAAAAAGATATATAAATAGAACTCATATATTTATGTTATTTAAAGTTTTATTTTTCAAAAACAAGAATTTTTTGAAGGTTTTCTTGTTTCTCCATCTAGATAACCATCTAGAGATCAGCAACCACTGAAACTGAGTCGAAACGACACGAAAAGCTAATTGCTATATTAATTGTCACTCGACATTTCTCCTCAACGTTCTAGCGCTGAGAAAAGTCTAGATTTTCTCTCATCTAATCTGTTCACTATCGATCTGAAGATACTCACGTGCTATCTAAAGATAACACGTAAAAAATATAAAATGATGCCATATTTTCCAACTCATATAAAATTAACGTTCAATATATCTTTATTGAAAAGCAAAACAACATGGTATAGCGGTGAAAATGTAAATGTGCTAACACCGAAGAGCTAACGTCTGAAAAAAAAGAAAACAAGTAGGATATTCCAATATTGGAACTTTGTAACGAATGAGTCAAACATTCGGTTGAACATTTCGACGTCGGGCTGTAAAATAGAGAATTCAGAGACCGGAAGTTTCACTTGGAGAACTCCAAATCGTCCGCTTCTATCTGGTTTGCGCGATAGAAAAAAAAGAGAGAAAAAGAGAAACGCGTCCAATCCGCGTAGAATCAACAGCCGGAGAAAGGAAGAGGAGAGGAGAGAAAGAGACAGAGAGAAAGAGAGAGAGAGAGAGAGAGAGAGAGAGAGCGAGAGAGAGCAAGAGAGAGAGAGAGGGGGGGGGACTCGCGGCAGACGTCGCCTGGTTCTCGTTTTTTTCATTATCACGCGGTGCAACGAAAGCAAACGGCTTTCCCGCTCGCGCTTCAGAATCCAACGGTTGCGTTTAAATATTTTGGTTAGACATTTGTGAGTTACTTGGAAGCGGCGGCAGCAGCGTTCAGTACAAACACACTCGAGGGCTGCTGCTTTTCCACCGGGGGTATGTAACGAGCGAGAATACATTACGAGTTTCTCGACCGCCGTCGAGTAAGAGAGAGGAGGAAGGAGTTGGATGGAGGTAGGGAAGGAAAGAGAGAGAGAGAGAGAGAAAGAGGAGAAGGCTGAAACTCCATAATCTACACCGAAACGCGCGAGTTCGGCCGAACGTGCTTGAAAATTGTATCGAGGTGTCGAATTCCGCGAGGGTGTTTCTCTAATTACAAAGGCGCATCGAGAAATTATGCAATAGCGTTGTAACGAAGACCCGGTCGCGCGGTTTACATCGACGGGTGTCCAACTTTTCCGCGCAAAATCGACGGGATAAGGATTAACCTCGTTGCATTCTCGTTGGGGAAAGAGCGACGAGCCGTTGACACGCGTGTCGGGTAAATTTGCCGTTCGACCGCCATCACCATTCACCAACATCGGCACGGATTCGAATGCAGCCGCTACAAATCGATCTTCCTCGATTTTCAGAGTACCTCTACCTTACGGGCACGCCCCGTCGATGATCCCGATGAGAAGACAAAGCATTCGCTGCCACTTCCGCAAGGGAATCGATTGGTGCAGCTGGAAATTAATTTCCATAATAATAATAATGCTCTTGCTCTGCCTGACAGCAGCATTAACCTACGTTGCAGGTAATTATTCGCATATATTGCAATTCCAAACACCAGCACTTTTCTTCACCACGTCGCGAGTAACGCTAAACCAAACGTAACCAAACGTTTAGACAAAGCTACAAATTAAAATATTTTAAAATACGTATTATACTCGGGCGAAAATTTCATTAAACTATCTCTATCCTCTCATACGTATCTTAGACACTTCTTTACGGATAGAATAGAGGTTTCTTTTCATATAAAAATTATTTTTGATATCATTATGTTTCTAATAGTGCCGGAAAATAAACTGTTAATAAGCTCTCTCTTGCTAAGGAATAGTAAAGTTCATTACATAGCTAATGAGTAATGGAGGAATGAAGTAAGGAAATAAAAAAAGAAGAGTAAATTTCGCTAGAAATAAACATTTTTTAATAACATTGCAATTTCTAAAATTTAAATACTTTTTATTTCTAAAATTTTAATACTCATGAGAGGACAGTCAATTACTGCAGAATGTCGATCTATTCCTCGGTTACAAAAATCTACAGTAATTTTAGTCTACAAAATTCTACCCGTGTTTTCATGTAATGTTCATAAGATAAACACCCGAAAGAACGCAATGTAACAGCGATGTAGCACCGACGACAGCACACTACACCACACTCGGTTCCATTAATCCCACATTAACGCAGTGTCTTGTTCAGTGAACTGGTCGTACCAAAGCACCAAGGCATGCTCAGTCCTGGTGGGTGAAAACGCCGACGCCAAACCATCATCGGGCGAGTCGAACAAGACATCTTCGTCATCCGCGTCGACGTCGTCGCAATCAAGCGGCAGGGCGCGGCAGCAGTCGCCGTCAGGAGGTAGTATTAGCACGTCGGATAGCATGTTGTTAGATGGTGTATACAGCCGCAAGCGTAGGGACACGTTTAACGAGCATGTGTTGTCGCATCAAACTGTCGCACCACCCTCCCATGACCCCGAAGAGCTGCCCTTGACCCCGACCATCGCCAGCACCGCGGTCGAAATCGCAGGGTCCGGGCAGCGAGCATCGGTCCCGTTGCATGAGGATTCTGGTAAGGCTGTGCATGTTCCACCGGTGCATGTGGACGGTCGAGGTCCGATGGAAGGAGCTGTCGACCGTGCCGAGGCCGCGATCGCCGAAGAGACAACGGCGCCGGAGTCGCCGGGATCGACGACTCCCTCGCGAGCGGTGTCGCTTCTCGGCAATGTCGTCTCCTCTACTACTAACTACTCGCACGATCGTTCGACTCATACCACTGTCGCTGTCGACCTCACCTCTTCGTCCTCTGCCTCTGCCGACTCTGACTCTGTCCTGTCGTCCTCCATTCGCGAAGCGTACATCGAGGCGACCGGCACGTCGTCGCGGCCGCTTCTTCCCGCAGGAGTCCCCCTGGACGGCACCTCCGACCATACCGGTAGCGAGTTGCCGAGCGTCGACGAGGGCCCTGCCGATGTCGTCGCGACGCCACGTCGGACGGAGCACGTTGCGAAACTTGGCAGTGGCGACGACTCCGTGGATTTCGACGGGGCCACTAACGCCGGCACGTCCGAAAGTTCCGGCATTGCCGAAAGCAGCGGCGATATCGCGGCTACGACGACGTCTGCATCCGGCGGGGAGGGCCCCGCGAAACTTCGCGCTGATAGTGGCGACCACGAGCACGAAGTAGCGCCGATAGTCGACGGAAGTGCGGCGAACGGCAATAACGTCCACACTGTCGACTACAGCAGCAATGTAGGTCTCGCTGATGGCACGGCAGGTTCTACGACTGCAACAGAGAACTTGTATTCGGATGAAACGAGCGAGAATCGACGATCGAACGTGAGTAATCCCGATTGGGACGCGAGTGGCGACTCTTCCGGTGAACTGTTGGCGCCGGCGGAGGTGTATCTCGAAGAAGTAAACGTTAGGATTTCGTCTAACGAAAATGTGGACGGTGATATGACGACCGACGTACCCTTAAGTAAGAACGAGAACGACGAAAAATCCGAGGGGAAGGAAGCCGAGCTTGCGGGAGACCGCGACGACGCGTCTGATGAGACAATTAGCTCCAACGAAGACAACCAGTCGACCGTCTTCGTGAAAAGCAACGATGGCTCGAAGGCGATAGACACGACGACGGGACCGTCCCAGACGTCGTCGTCGTCGGATGTCGTGAAGGAAACGCGAGAGCTCTCCCGGGAGTATTCGTCGTCCGAGTCATCTGAAACCTCGTCCAATGTCGTTAAGGCCGCCGAAAGCACGGAGGAACTCCAACAAGACTATCCCGTACCGGCCTACAGTTATGGCCAAGACGAAGTGGAGATCGTCAACCTTCGCCAAAAGAGCCAACTGATCGCGGAAACGGAACGCCACTCCGCCGACAAATCAGCCGGTCCCGCGATTTTCGATAACGACGTGGGAACGAACACGGTTTCCCGAAAGGAGCGCGACAAAGGCGACTTGCGAGTTGTCATGAGGCAAGGCAGCGACGAGGAGTTCATTCGGAAGTTCGAGGAGAAATTCCACGCGGCGTCCATGGAGATCGACGACTCCGCGGAGAATCCCCCACCAATCGAAACCGACCGTAACTCAGCCGCAACGGACACTCTCCGCGAAACGGTGCATGATTCATTGGGCCACGCGTCAGCTTCTAACATAGATAATCTGTCGGGCTCACCGATGATCCAGAGGGTGCAGATCGTCGAGGTACCCGTGTACCACGACGGTATCTCGGACCCATCATCTCCATCATCTCCATCATCGCCATCATCCTCATCGTCATCCACCTCGTTACCGCACCGAGTGCTCATAAACATCACCATCGCCAGCGAGAACTCGCCCGCTTCCTCGAAACCCCTCTACGTCCTGTCGGTGTCCGTGCCGACGGAGGCCGACGTGAACGGAGCTCGTTCATCCGGGATTAACATCAATCAAGCGCAGGTGCGCGTGGCCGAGCGGCCTTCGGAGGAACCCGAAGCGGCGAGCATGCTGAGAAAGATCGTCGCTAACAGCGAGTCGATAGAACCGCTCGATACGATGCGATTACCGCCGCCGCCGCAGCCACCTGCCTCGCCACCAGCGCCGATCTGGGCCGGTGGCGAGTGCGAGTGCTCGTGCCCGTGCATGGGCTCGTCCTCTGACGAGTGGGACAACTTTTCAGCCTTCGACGAGAGCCTCAACGTGGAGCAGGAGCAGCTCGAGCAGCAGCGCGCTAACTCTACTCTGTCCGCGGAGGAACCCCGACAGTCTGAGGGAACACAGGATCAGAAGAGGCAGCGCGAGGAATCTTCGTCAATCCCGGCAGACTCGGTAAGGAATGTGACCGGCATCAGCACGGAAGATTATTATCCATCGTCGACAGTTCAATCTGTGGAGAACAATGAGTCCACCAGTGAGATCACGTCAACTTACGAGCCGGAAGTAAGCACCGATATGTGGGCTTGTTCTGGGACCACTCCACTCCCCCCAGAGCCCACTATACTGATTCTCGAAGGTGAGGCCCCGTTCACGTAGTTTCTATCTGTCTCTTTCTATCTTTCTCACAGTTCTCTTAGAATCTTCTTTCAGAATCAATCTTTTCTTTTCTTTGAAAACTCTTCTTACTTTTTCTCTGCCGTCTTCGCTGTGATGCTGATGCTGCTCGACTTCTTTGCTTGTTGTTTAGTTCGTGGATTGCTTCTCGAACGCGCGAGAGTTCGTGCAGAGAGTACAATTGCCTGTATCGTAGTGTTGTTGCAATGCGCTTCGTGGTAGTGGGTAGTGTAATTTTGTGTAGATTGATAATTGCGGCGTTATAGAAAGTGTGACGTAATTTTTAGTTGAAATTCTGTCTAATCGATCCATGCGTGGAACGTGTATCAGTATTAAAATCAACGTCCGTTAACAACTGCGACTGCCAGTTTTACGTAAAAGTAAATTCCCGGAAAAACAATTGGCCACAGTTAATTGGTAAAAATAATCCAACCTCAAAAATTATGATTTTTGAGTTTTTGTTTTTTTGCCAATAGATAGTTCATACGTCTATCTACATTAGACAAAAAGCCTTATGGGCGCCTAAAATTAATCAAAAAAGTTTTTTTTAGTTGCGTTCTTTTCCAATTCTTTTAAGAATTAAGCTTGTCAATGAATACCCTTGTAGAGAAAAGAATTGATCATGCTTGACTTCTTGAACGATTGCGATGAATCTCAGTGCTACCAAAATTTTTTTAATCGTGTATCAAATTTTCATCTTCACTTTTCTCGAAACGCACTTCATGTGGGTCATTCTTGCATAACTACGATCGATTAATCATTATCAGTTTCGTTAGACGATAATCAATATAAGATATAAAGATCTGGTAATCCGTTTAAAAATAGAACGAAAGAGATGTAACACTCATAAAAATTCGGCACATAGGCATCCACGCTTAAATCTTGAAATGTTTAGTCTTTCAGAGTGAATCTCCATCTCTCGGATAACGCAATTTCGATGCTACTTGGTTAACATAAATTAAGGGGATGCCAAAGTGAATGACAAACTCAAAACATGTCGAAGCTTCAAATTCAGTTATTAAGCTCTTAAATTCAGTTGTGAATGTACACAATTCAGGCAAATAACCTCGACATTGTATGACCCTAGTTGCAAATGAATTTCTCGATTATGTTTACGCGATATGTTTACATATCCGTGCTTCATAATTGTTGATTATTTCGAGGAAGCGGCACCGTCGAAATAATCAACAGTTATGAATGTGTATACACATTGCGAGTAATCGAGAAATTCGTAAAATGTTAAAGCTATTATCCCGGATTGTGTACAGCAATACCCTTTGACATTTTTCTGAGCGAAACCCATTCGGCATGCACAAGCTGCAGAACTTTCGTATCTGACAAATATTTACGCTCGAGAAGAGTTTGAACAATGCTGCAAATTATTTTTGCACGTACTATTATTGTGTAAAAACACTCCACAATTCCGTACAACTAATACGTCATGAAAGAATGAAGATAGTACTTTGTCGATAAAGTTTTCAAATATGGCATCTCCTTTTTCTTTTTATTTTTGTTTTTTACAAGTGTCTCCAATTGTCCGGCACGTTCGTGCTATACGAATCATCCTTTTATGTAAATAGATAACTTCGTTAATCGCACTAAAATTACTGACCCGGATACATCGGCCGACACGACACTCCGATCGTCCGGGGCTTTACTGATCGCGACTCGTACTCCCATACTCACAGGTGCGCGAACCTTCCCGGCAAGGTCCTTCCCACCTGACGGCACGACCTTCGCCCAAGTCAGCTTAGGGCAAAAACTCAGCAAAGAGATACCGCCGTACGGCTACTGGAACATGCAGTTCTACCAATCGGAGGCCGCCTACGTACGCTTCGACTACAGCATCCCGCGCGGTGCCAGCATCGGCGTGTACGCGAGGAGGAACGCGCTGCCCACGCACACGCAGTACGACCTGCTGGAGGTTCTCAGCGGCTTCAAGGCGCGGACCACCAGGGCGTCCCATGTTAGTGTTATTGTATGTGCCACCACCCCATTTTTTATTTCTATCATCTTAGAGTCGACTGATTAGACTGATGTCGGGTGTGGACAATATATTTTTTTCTCATTTTTTTACTCGCCCCCTAGCCAAACGTAAACGTGTATGTGTGTACACGAAGAAGAGATGCTATTGCAGAAATTCCCGCCGTAATTGGAGTAAATCTTCTCGGTTCAACAGCAATGCCATTGAAACTAATACTCGAGTCACCGAAATAATTTATGATGTGTTAGTTTCAATGGCATTGCTGTTGAATCAAGAAGATCTTTTCTCCAATTACGATGTTAGCAATTTCTATTGATACAACGCATCCCTTTTCCGTGTATGTGTACGTCGCAACCGTATCGGGCGATGACGGTTTGATTAATTCCGATCGCTCCCACAGCCGTCGATTAAGAAAGAGGTGACACAGTACATGGAGCCGGGCCATTGGTTCCTCTCGCTTTACAACGACGATGGAGACCCGCACGAAGTTTCGTTCATCGCCGTGATCGCCGAGGACATGACGCACAACTGCCCCAACGGCTGTAGCGGCAAGGGCGAGTGTCTCCTAGGCCACTGTCAGTGCAATCCCGGCTTCGGTGGTGAGGATTGCAGCGAGAGCGTCTGTCCCGTTCTCTGCAGCCAGAGAGGTGAGTTTGTCGTATCGGAAAAAGAATCCGGAAAAAAAGTAACTTCATCCAAATGGACTTTCATAACTATCACAACGCGTGAGGTAGTCGGCGATGAAAACTTTGCAATTACTTTAATCACATTTACGAAGCAAATCTACTGTCTTGAATCGATCGTTAAATTTATATTAGTGTATGTCGTAAATTTAATAATTAATTCAATATATAGTATATTTACTTCGTGAGTGAAATTAAAAGAATTATTAAGTCCCCACCATCGATTGTTTTACGTTGTGATGATCATGAAAGTCTCTATCTGAGTATCTTTTTAAATCTAAATTCTCTTTTGTTTAAGTAGAACGATTGTTTTCATGAAAAATAATGGAAAATGTATATTTTCTCATTTGAAAAAAATTCTCAATGTAAAAACATGTATATTAGTACAAGTAAATATGTTATTAGTGTCTATAGACAAATATATATATATATATATATATATATATATATATATATATATATATATTAAATATCTAAAAATAGAATATCTATATATTCTATTTTTTTTGGTACTTTTTTCTCACAGTGTACATCTGTTTATCTGGGTAATTAAGAATTTATCGATAATAGGCTTCTTCTTTTTAAATGCAATTAGAAATAACGCCTCTTGAATAATTGATATATTTTTTTTTCTACATGATTGCATTCATTCATAAATTATTATGCGCTCTCATTGACGAAGGAATATCGAGGAATATGCGATAATAGGATTCAGCTATTCGGTTAAAATAACATTAAATTGAAATCCGTATCGGAATTTTAATAAACTTCAAAAATCGGTTATTGGTTACGGGTTTGATTAAAATCCTATTGAAATAGAAAGATATAACGATTGGTAGGTTTTTTAACCGATTAAAAAAACCAAGTCTGGTTACGGCTTCGTTTATCGATTTCTTTTAAATAGAAATCAAAGCCGATTACATTTCACTCGTTTCAGTATTGCACTTTTGCAAACAGCCGCGATACATATTTCCTGGTGCTTGGTACCGATTATTCTCCCTCTCCCATTCCCACTCCCTCCACCATCTATCGTGACGCTTTCGCCGAACGGAGGGATATGTTTGTATTTATTTATTGGGTAAAACAAAGTGATTTGGGTAACTGACTCCAAGGGAAAAAATACCACAATAACTCGATACGTCTCCATGACTTTGCGATCTAATAACTTGAAACGCGAGTATTTCCGAGTACGATCGGATTGCAGCGACTCCGCCGTTGCTGCATCGCGCCGCGCGATGGTTTTAATCACTGGAAGTTTCCATCTCCGCGGCGGAGCAACTTGGAGCGAGCGCCCGTTGATGAGCGGCGCGTGAATAATTTCCACTGTTAAATAATACCGTCGTCCCGATTTAGGTGAGTACATAAACGGCGAGTGCCAATGTAATCCCGGCTGGAAGGGAAAGGAGTGTTCCCTGCGACATGACGAGTGCGAAGTGCCCGACTGCAATGGCCACGGACACTGCACCAACGGCAAGTGCAACTGTGTACGCGGCTACAAAGGAAAATATTGCGAGGAGGTCGACTGTCCGCATCCGACCTGCTCGGGTCACGGTTTCTGTGCCGAGGGCACGTGCATCTGCAAAAAGGGCTGGAAAGGAGCCGACTGCAGTCAGATGGACAAGGAGGCACTGCAGTGCTTGCCGGACTGCAGTGGACATGGAAATTTCGATCTGGAGACCCAAACCTGCCTCTGCGAGTCCATGTGGTCCGGTGATGATTGCTCGAAAGGTAAGAGGCTGAACTAATGGCCCTTTTAGGAACTTGCGTTCCTTTTTAGCGACACGTTTAAATATACGTCAAATGTTTCCCCAGACAGCACAAATCTCTCAAAGGATGTTTTTGGGACATCTTTCGGTCGTGTTTTAGTAGATTGTGCTGGCTAGGTCGCGCGAAAACTCGTAAATACTTAAAAATGTTCGGTTTAAAGAAGTGTAAAGAAAATGTTACAAAGTATCGCTGTATCTCATATAACATGAAACATTTCTACAGTAAAAAACATAGTTTCCACACTGAAAGAAATTATCCGTTAAAAAATTAACAAAGATATTTCCGATCAAAATATCAATAAATTTTTATATCCGATCAGGATATCCGATTAAATTTAATCAAATATTTCCTATCATAATGGCATTTTATCAGATAAACTGATCAAAAAATTATGAACCGTTGTTTCTCATCGAATGTCTCCTGATGGGATAGAAAAATTAATCGGTATTTTGATCGGAAATATTCGTTTGTTAATTTCTTATCAAATAATTTCTTTCAGTTTATATTTATGTTATTAGATATTTTTCAAGTATAATAACGAGTTCTCTTATATTTCAAGTATGAAATAATTTTGATACTTATACGAAATACAAAATATAAAGCCATCTATGAGCATTATTTGAAGTAAAAAATTCTTTATGTCTATTTATTATAGCCACGTCCGACATTATTTCTATTCGCAACGTTGATTTGGCGCTCATCAAAACTTATTATCATAAGATCACCGTTCTCGCGCTGCTAAATCAACTTGATAAATATCGATCGTATATTCGTGCATCCGACGAACTGACGACTCCTGTGTTTCCAGGTCTCTAGGTGGCGGCCGGTACTCGCGAAAATAATTCTTACGAAACTGCCGATTAACAGTCCACTTTTCTAGATCCCTCCTTTTGCATCATAGTTTCGTTCACTCGTCGTCAGACGATCATCGCTTTGCACTCCCGGCTTCTGAGTGTCGCTTCGAGACTAACACATTCCCGTACTACTTCCAAGCACCCCGGCGAGCCATTCTCACGCTAACTGCTTCGCGGTGTTTCAGAACTGTGCGATCTCGATTGCGGCCCTCACGGACACTGCGTGGACAACGCCTGCGATTGCTCGCCAGGCTGGTCCGGCGAGTTGTGCAATCTGAAGCAATGCGATCCTCGCTGCAACGAGCACGGACAATGCAAGAATGGCACGTGTCTGTGCGTTACCGGATGGAACGGAAAACACTGCACGATGGAGGGTTGTCCGAATTCCTGTTCCGGCCATGGACAGTGCAGGGTGTCGAACGACGCGCAGTGGGAGTGCCAGTGCTACGACGGCTGGGACGGCAAGGATTGCAGCGTGCTCCTAGAACAGAACTGCAACGATGGACGAGACAACGATAAAGGTACCACATTTCCACGCGAACGCTTTCTGGATATTGATTCCCTTTCGACCTATTGACAAATTGCTTCCCGAGTTTCTATAAAAGACCATTTGCGAATAATCCCACGGTGTTGTAGATGTTTAAAGGCATAAACTTCCAAACAGAAGAGAGGGAAATGTATGATATGACTACTATCATTTATTACAAACGTTTAAAATAAAATTTAATTTAATTTTAACAATAAAATATTCGATAAAGTCTCTTTAAAATTTTCTTTTTTTCGTCATTTCTATTTCCCGTGGTTCAGGAAGAATCTTAAAGACCACAATTTGTTTTTAATATTTCTGGTAATGTCATCGCATAGTACTAATCTTCCCCTTTAATCTTCCAGTTTTGATCGTTCCAATATTATTTTGTTCCCAAGAGAAATACAACACTTTATAAATATTAAAATTATAAATATATATACTTGTGCAAAGTATATATATTATAAGATCTTTAACTAACTTTTATTTGAAGATCATTTAACTGCTTTTCAATATTTTCAGAGTGCACCACCTACATAAAATTGATAATATGATATTATCACATGATTAAAATATGTTATATTACGGGTACAGTCCAGCGGGCGCTACAAATGTTTTGTAGCGTTTTTACTTCTTTCTCTTTCTTCATTCGAATCCGAGAAATAGAACAAGAGGGAGAAACACTGCGCAGCATTTGTAGCGACTGTTGGACCGCGCCCTATATCATAATTTTTAAGTGAACTATATGTGGAAGCGACTTTCTTTACACTGAATTTTTTATCTTTTTTATTTCACTTTTTTGTTTGTATTGGATGCTGTAGGTCTGTATTATGTATATACATCTATTTGTAATTTCAATATTTTTAAAGTAGTATATCTTGGAAACAAAATATTGTACGAGGATAATGAAACACGGATTTTAAAGGGGAAGACTAGTACTTACAATACGACATTGACAGAAATATAAAAGAAATTTGATATCTCTAAAATAAATGCATAAATTTAGCTAAAATCGTCATTTCTGACACATCTAACTTCATTTATTTCAAAAACCTGACATATGATATAATGGAAAAATTCTGAGGGCAGATTTAAATTCAGCACACAAAATTACGTAGGAAATCATTGTCAAAAATCAAAACGATGCAGTCCTGTGTTATTGAAGATTGCCTCTTAGATGTATTTTTCTGTGGAATTTCGTAATAAAAATTAATGTGCCTCTTTCAGATGGTCTCATCGACTGCGCCGACCCCGAATGTTGCTCCAATCATATATGCCGTACAAGCCAGCTGTGCGTCTCGGCGCCCAAACCAATCGATATATTGCTACGGAAACAGCCACCCGCCATCACCGCTTCCTTCTTCGAGAGAATGAAGTTCCTAATCGACGAGGGCAGTCTGCAGAACTACGCTCGTCAGGAAACCTTCAACGAGAGGTAAGTTCGTCATCGGTCTTCGCGAGACTTTCCCCTCTCGTCCTTGCGACCAATGTCGTCGTCATGGTCTTCGTCGTCCCCGCGTTTGCTCAAAAATCGTTAGCGAAAATTGTCCGTCCCGATGTCGATGTTGCGTCTACAGTTTGCGTGTCTCTACGTAAAGAAATATAAAATAAATAAAATAGGAAACTCTTGACTCAACATGCGCGATCACGAGAGAATGGCAGCATTATAAATAGGAACACACTGATAATTAACACTGTACAGGACTTCACAAATTCGTTAAAATTCTTTCCACGTATAGATTTTTGTCACAATTTGGGATCGTTGCCTGTCAAAGAAAACACGATTATACGTCACTTTTTGGAAATCTTCTCAAGGCAAACTCAATTATACGTTATTTTTTGGTAGCCTTGAATAAGAAAATCCAATAGAAGCAAAAATCCTTAGAAATTCTGGTGAAATTAGATTTTATTATTTATAGCTCGACTTGCTCGGCTTATTTCACGAAATTTCCCGGTTTCTCAATACAACTCGGCAACCACCAATACCTTTTCTCTTTCTATCTTTCACACACTGTACGTTCTTATTAAAGATATATCATTAATCATCTGTTCCACATTGAACAAAGGATCCGTATGTGGAAAGGAAGATAACGGGGAATTTTTGAAGGGCTGTACGGACCGTAAATCCTGAAGGTCGAGAAAGTTGCATGCTCGACGGGACGACTAAAGGTTATTAATACGAATATGGTCCCTTTGACTCGAGCCAGGAACCGAATCGTTTGAAAGATTAGTCGGGTAAAGCCGATCGATCTCTATTTTTAACGCGGGAAGAAACGTGCACACAGAGAGGGTCCCGGCGCTCGCAGGGACCCGGTAATCTTTAGCTGCCTGCGCGCATTACAAGATACACGCATACCTCTGTACATCTCTCTCTCAGTACACGTGTATACCGACATTATACAGACACGAGGATGCATACATAGATTTGAATATTATATCTGCGTTGTTGTGACCCGTGTGAAATCACATCCCAACAGTTTTCTACATATGTTTTGTACGTACGTGTGCGCGAGCGTGTGCCCTGCACTGGCCCCCGCCCTTGAAAACCCTTTCGGCTCTTGTCTCCTACATCCCCCCCCCCC